TTTTACAACGCGGGGCCTTGCCTCCTGCCCTCGCCTGATCGCGTTTGCTTCAATTATTTTGCTTAAGTTGAATTTGTCTTCACACGGCTGGCCACTTTGTAACTTTGTTTTACTTTAAATATTCACACAGTTTTTATTTTTTACCAGGCCAAGCCTGCTTGAGCTGCTGTACCGCTCTTGTTTTCAGAAGCAACCTGCCCACAACAACAAGGTGAGGCTTGTCAACAGCGTGGTGGTGTTCACTCTAGACGCGTGGCGGTGTTCACTCCAGACGCGTGGCGGTGTTCACTCTAGACGCGTGGTGGTGTTCACTCTAGACGCGTGGTGGTGTTCACTCTAGACGCGTGGCGGTGTTCACTCCAGACGCGTAGCGGTGTTCTCTCTAGACGCGTGGCGGTGTTCACTCTAGACGCGTGGCGGTGTTCACTCTATACGTGTGGCGGTGTTCACTCTGGACGCGTGGCGGTGTTCACTCTAGACGCATGGCGGTGTTCACTCTGGACGCGTGGCGGTGTTTACTCTGGATGCGTGGCGGTGTTCACTCTAGACGCGTGGCGGTGTTCACTCTAGACGCGTGGCGGTGTTCAGTCTAGACGCGTGGCGGTGTTCACTCTAGACGCGTGGCAGTGTTCACTCTATACGCGTGGTGGTGTTCACTCTAGACGTGTGGCGGTGTTCACTCTAGACGCGTGGTGGTGTTCACTCTGGACGCGTGGTGTTCACTCTGCATGTGGAGTGGGGACAACCGGGGGATCCGGAGGGAAATCCACGCGACCACGGGAAGAGAGAGAGAGACACACAAACTCCAAATATCCAGCAGGCATCAGGGTCAGGATCGAACCCACGACTTCCTGTATGCCAGGAGAGGTAGTTAACATCTCACCACGGGGAGAGAGAGACAGGCAGCCTCGGCGATGTTGATTTATCCTCATTGAATTACTTGGTGGAGTGAGGAAGCATTAATACTGAGCAGGTGAAGGTGGCTAGGCATGGGTCTGGACACACCACCACCTGTGAACCATGCAGTGTGTGACAGTGTAAAGTTTGTGTTTTCACTAAAGTCTGTTAACTCTGTTGAACACGGAGGTTATATCACAACAATATTTTGTTTTTGTTTTCCTCTGGAACTCTTTGTAAGAATGGAAACAGTCAACACAGTACACACATGCAGCTGAAGTCAGATCTGTTCATCCCAGCATTCATGGACATCGTGAGCCTGGCTGGCTTCACACCTCTAAGTTGCGATTGAACATTCATTTATGCATTTCTGCATAACACAAATAGTTTTATTTTCAACACCCTTTGCTATATCAGCTGAATTTAGCTTTCATAAAAATACCTTTTGTATCCAGACAGCCGAAATTGTGTGCTCGGAGTTTTGGGTTAACATTCATTTTGAAGACACTAGGGATTCCAGGCATATTCATGACCATTCGCCCTCTCATTGTGTTCCATAACAGCCTGTGATGAATTTGGGAAACTTTTTGACTATATCATGAATATATGAATAAGTATAGACGTGTAAGTCACGTGTTACTGTGTATATATGCATTCCTCTGTGCATCGATACTGACGTGTAGATGGTGTGGATATTATTTTTTTCTGTCTGCTGCTGTCGCTTCCTCTGCAGAATTTGTCTGATGGAGCAAAGGCACTCGGCGCAGCTCGGTACCATAAGGCAACAATGCGACCGGTGTGCATACAGCACGGTTCGTCCTGGACATTTGACACGGCACCAGAGAACTCACACAGGAGAGAAACCCTTCAAGTGCAGTGTGTGTGGGAAGGCGTTGGCACATTCATCTACTCTTAAAAGACACCAGAGAACACACATGGGAGAGAAATTCTTCAAGTGCAGTGTGTGTGGGAAGGTGTTTGCACATTCATCTACTCTTGTAAAACACCAGAGAACACACACGGGAGAGAAACCCTTCAAGTGCATTGTGTGTGGGAAGGCATTTGCACGGTCAACACATCTTCGAAGTCACCAGAGAACACACACGGGAGAGAAACCCTTCAAGTGCAGTGTGTGTGGGAAGGCGTTGGCACATTCATCTACTCTTGTAAAACACCAGAGAACACACACGGGAGAGAAACCCTTCAAGTGCATTGTGTGTGGGAAGGCGTTTGCACTTTCAACAAATCTTCAAAGACACCAGAGAACACACACAGGAGAGAAACCCTTCAAGTGCAGTGTGTGTGGGAAGGTGTTTGCACTTTCAACAAATCTTAAAAAACACCAGAGAACACACAAGCATCAGAAGATCCACAAGGAGTGGAGTCTGAAATCAGCTTGTGAAAGTCAAAGTGCCGCAATGAGGCCATCCCTCATGAAACAAGAACCGGAAGAAAATCCCAGCTTGGACACTTTTAAAGGTATCAAGGTGAAATATGAAGAGGTGAAGGTGAAATGTGAAGAAGTGATGGTGAAGAGCGAAGAAGTGAAGGTAAAATGTGAAGATGAAGATTCGACTCCAAAATCGGACCTTCACATCGATGGAGGCAACGTGAAGCAGGAGGAGAATTCTGACTGTGAGGCAGAGCGAGGCAACTCCCAGCAGTTTGTGGAAGTGGAGGTGTGGGTGGACTTCCTCCGAGACAATAGAAAGTCAAATGTAGACCCGGTAGATGTGTAAGCTTGAGACGATGTCGCTCCAATAGATGCACCTTTGTCACAGGCCTTTAATAACAAGAATGTGAAGTTGAACACTCAATTCCTAGGTTCAACCTGCAGGGTAAGAGCGGCCAGTCTTTGTGGACCTGTGGGTTGGGTAGATCTCTAACCAGGAGCAAGAGCCAATAAGCTCCGAAGCCTTTACATTATGAGACCTCCTTTGCCAGTAACAAGATATAGTAACAGGTTTTTACCCTTTTAGCTGGCACAAAAACTGACACCTTTATACAAGGGATCATGTTTGCAATAACCACAACACAAGCAGTCAAAAATGCAAACAAAAAGAAACAACTCTGATAATGATATGCACTGTCCTTGAATTTGATTGGTCCACACCCGAGACGGCTTTTCTTAGAGCCTAGTCTCCACTGGTGTTGGACCATATGACACCATAAGGCGTACAACTCAAAAACAGCGCGCTATCAGAGTATGGTGCCAGCTAAAAGGGTAAAAACCTTTTACTATAAGCTCCGAAGCATTCGCTATGTTATCATAATTGCATTTATATGGTGCTTGCTTAATCGCCTCGGCAACTCGGAGTTTTGTATCGTATCTCGTCTCAAACACGTGAAGAGCATCCCCAAGTAGCAGCTGCCCCTGTGTGGCACAAGGTGGTGGCCCTGCACCGGCCTGCATGTGGACAAGAGCCTGTCAGTAGGGGCCGATGGTTGATTTGGCGTCTTAGTTGTGGAGTTTGTAGGTAATGTTTAGAATTTGATCAATTTTGACGCAGACGCCAGCATGCAATAGCCTACTCGTTTTGAATGACGCAATAGTATGTTGTACATACACTGTCAAGCAGACGGTGCGCATTTTTGTTAAATAGCTTCTTGTTCATCTTCTTTGGTTCTTTCGGTAAAGTCACGTAGAATGATAATGTCATTATCATTCTACGTCATTATAGTCATTATAGTCATTATAATCATTATAGTCATTCTATGTCATTATAGTCATTATCATTCTACGTGACTTTACCGAAAGAACCAAAGAAGATGAATCAATGCAGTCACGAAAGCTTTAAATCGAAATTTAGCTTCTTGTTAATACGATGTAACATGATACAGCATATTTCAGTTCAGTAATTAAATTTTGTTAATATGCCTGTCACTAATTTAGAATGAATACTTGTCTGATTGTGTGCATACATGTAACATTTTGTCTATAAGGGTCAAACATTGAATAAGTAATGTTAGGACAAAGTGTGTGTTTTGGAAGTAACCTGTACAGATAAGTCGGGTGAGACCCGTTGTTGGGATCGCGGGATCGAGATGACGCGACACAGAGCTGGCCGTGCGAGAAGACCGCCGTCTGCAGATCGATTCCAACGTGATCGAGCGTCTGTCCCTGCACCTCCATCGTTCATGCAGGGGGCTAGTAGGTTTACAGCGCCCCCTGCATGAAAAAGACGGAAAGTGCAGCGTTCATCACAGATGAAGTTGTGCGCTTATATAAAGGAGTATAGCCAGTGGGTTTTCAAAGTACCTTCGTCTTACAGAAATCAATTTCGCGTGATCCCACCGCATTAAAACGATTCTCAGCTGAGCGGGGCGAGCCACGGTGGGGGGGAGGGGGGTCACCTTATCTTTATCACGTGACGTAGCTCACGTGACAATGTCTGGATGTTTTCGCCTGAGGACGACTGCTCGTGTTGCGATCGAAACGTCGTGATATATTTATTTTCTACCTACGTGACTTTACCGAAAGAACTGAAGAGTCTGAAAGGCGTCTTGTCTGTGAAACTTGTTCATAGCTGTAGCTGTGTACATCGATATCCCACATTGCTTACACGTACACACCACATCCAATGAAATATAAACTTGAACGACTTCCGGGGATGGGCAAAGATCGAGGAATCTCTTTCAATGGAGCGAGTTAAGTGTGTTCAACATCTCTGTCCGTGTCTCTGTTCGCCTCTGTGTCTCTCTCTGCCTGTCTCTCAGTCGTCTCTGTCTCTGTGTTCCTCTTGTCTGTGTCTGTCCGCCTGTCTTGTCTGTGTGTGTGTGTCTATCAGCGTCTGTCCCACCGTAGTCAACGACTGTCAGTAGCAGCACGCGCCCGTTCAGCTCCCACGGCTACACGCCACTCAAACTTGCTCCCAACACAAAGACAAAGATCCCCCGTATAGCCTGCACAGAATGTCATGGCAAGTGCTGTTAGTGAGCACCTAACATAAAGACAAAGATACCCTGTATAGCCTTAACAGACTGTAGGGGCAAGTGGTGTTAGCGAGCACCTATTAAGGGTGGGACGGCACACGAGGGGGTGGGTGGCCAGCACCACGCCCGGCCGCCTTTGTCTCCCTAGTGGCGATGTTTACACACCGCACCGGGTACTCGTTTGAGGCCGAGTCGACGTAGGGGAGGCTCAGGACCGGTTCAGAAAATCGTCACTGGCGGTGTTGGCCACGAGCGGGAATGGAACTCGGCTGGTCGGGTGCGGAGCGCAGCGCTCACCACGTCACTGCCGCTCCCCTTCTGTCAACAAACCTGAACTCTGACCCCGCTCTCTGACGTCACCGCTCAGCGTGACCTCAACGGCGTCGAACGCCAAGGGGGAGGTGTGCCTCGCTAGTGACGTCATGTCACCGACCACCGCGCTCTTGATCGTGACGTAACCTCCGCTCGGCCGCTGCCGATAACTGTTCCAGTGCCAATCCTTATTTGGGCAAAGCCACTCCCGGTGACTGGCTGCTCATTAACATAATGTGTTCGTGATAGCCGTCGCGAGTTTATTGCGACGGGTTCGGCACCCACTCCCCATCCCTCCACGTATGGGCCGGGCTCATTAGCATAATTTATTCAAGTTAAGAGGGGAGTGTCTTGTATCCCGCAAGTGACGTCATGTCACCTGCTGCTGCTTCGTGACGTCGCGAGGTAACGGGAAGTTGCCCCTCCGCCTTTGCACTGAAATCCGAGGTGAGAAATTCTCATCGCGGTTGTGGTGGTTGTTGTGGTGGTGGTTGTTGTTGTGGTGGTTGTTGTTGTTTACCGAGGTAGAGCCTCGCTCTCTCTCGTAGGGATGTCAACTGAGTAGCAGCGAGCATGGAAGCGATGTCCAGGTTGGAATTTTACAACGTGGGGCCTTGCCTCCTGCCCTCGCCTGATCGCGTTCACTTCAATTCTCTTGCTTAAAGTTGAATTTCTCTTCACACGGCTGGCCACTTTCTAACTTTGTTTTATTTTAAATATTCACACAGTTTTTATTTCTATTTTTTTTACCAGGCCAAGCCCGCGTTGAGCTGCTATACCGCTCTTGTTTTCACAACCGACCTGCCCACAACAACAACGAGGTGAGGCTCGTCAACAGCGTGGTGGTGTCCACTCTAGACACGTGGCGGTGTTCACTCTAGACGCGTGGCGGTGTTCACTCTAGACGCGTTGTGGTGTTCACTCTAGACGCGTGGCGGTGTTCACTCTAGACGCGTGGCGGTGTTCACTCTAAACGCGTGGCGGTGTTCACTGTAGACGAGTGGCGGTGTTCACTCTAGACGCGTGGCGGTGTTCACTGTAGACGCGTGGCGGTGTTCATTGTAGACGCGTGGCGGTGTTCACTCTAAACGCGTGGCGGTGTTCACTGTAGACGCGTGGCGGTGTTCACTCTAGACGCGTGGCGGTGTTCACTGTAGACGCGTGGCGGTGTTCACTCTAGACGCGTGGCGGTGTTCACTCTAGACGCGTGGCGGTGTTCACTCTGGACGCGTGGCGGTGTTCACTCTGGACGCGTGGCGGTGTTCACTGTAGACGCGTGGCGGTGTTCACTCTAGACGCGTGGCGGTGTTCACTCTGGACGCGTGGCGGTGTTCACTCTGGACGCGTGGCGGTGTTCACTCTGGACGCGTGGCGGTGTTCACTCTGGACGCGTGGCGGTGTTCACTCTGCATGTGGAGTGGGGACAACCGGGGGATCCGGAGGGAAATCCACGCGACCACGGGGAGAGAGAGAGACACGCAAACTCCAAATATACAGCAGGCGTCGGGATCGAACCCACGACTTCCTGTATGCCAGGAGAGGTTGTTAACATCTCACCACTGAGAGAGAGACAGGCAGCCTCGGCAATGTTGATTGATCATCAATTAATTACTTGGTGGAGTGAGGAAGCATTAATACTGAGCGGATGAAGGTTGCCAGGCGTGGGTCTGGACACACCACCACCTGTTTAGTTTCATAGTTTTGTGGTGGTGGTGGTGGTGGTGGTTGTTGTTGTGGTGGTGGTTTCAGTTTTAAATTTAATTTATTTGGTATAGCCCTGTGAGCCATTCGGCTCTTGAATCGGGTGCAACCTCAACAAACAAAAAACATGAACAAGAAAACATCTTAAAGTGATTATGTGACTGTGCAAACAGAAAATTCAGGAAAAAAACAATCAAAATATTCCTGAAATAGCACCATACACCAACGCTGTGTGCAAAAATCCCAGTGGGATGCAATCAAATAACAACAACCACAAGACAACTAAGATTAAGGCCATCAGTCTAACTCCGTACTACAATAAACAAAAACATGGCCAAAACATAAAAAACCGTTTTCTAAATCACCAAAGTAAAATCCATAAATGCAATGTAACAGTGATCATAGGGACTGTGACCGAATTTTTAACAATAAACTACATAAATAAATTATAACACCAAAATCTAGAGACATATTTTTGGGCACTGAATAGCAGTGGCAGCTAGGGGTGTACAACTCCTCAAGAGCAGTTTTGAGTGAAGACCTCATAGGTAGTGATTCAAGTTGCAGTTTATTGGCAATAGCATTCCATGCCCTGGGGGCATCAATAGCAAAGACCCTTCCTCCGGTTTTTGTACGGCAATAGGGAATGTGAAGCTGGTAGATGAGCGAAGACCTGAGGTCAAATTTTTTTTTTGAAACAGAGAGGAGATCCAGTAGGTAGTCTGCGGATTCTTTTTGTAAGTACATCGTGATTAAATAAGATCTGGTGCACAAGCCGTCGAACATTAAGAGATGTTAAGTTTGATCCAATGTAGAGATCACAGTGGTGAGTCCTATATGGGCAGTTCAATGCAAATCTTAAGGCCGAGTGATAGATGGAATCAAGCTTCTTCAGTACAGTACTTGGGGCTGATTTATACACGATGTCACAGTAGTCAAGTAGAGGCAGTATGGTAGCTTTTATCAATTCCAAACGGAACATTGGGGAGAAGCAGTGCTTGTGTCGATACAGAAAACCAATTTTTATTTTGTCTTTTTACCAATATAATCAATGTGATCTTCAAAATTAAGTTTTAAATCCAGGATGACCCCAAGATACTTATAGATCTTGACTTGCTCTATTTGATAATTATTCAAGCAATGTAATTGGGGAAAAATAACTTCCTGCTTTAGTCCCGGTGAGAAGCATAGCACCTTGGTTTTGGAGGTATTCAGGACTAGTTTAAGAGAAACTAGCTGATGTTGTAGTATGTTGAAATCACCCTGGAGCTTAGCAATCACGTCATACGGAGAGCGGCCAGCAGTAATCAGTATCGTGTCATCTGCAAAAAGATTTACCCTGGAATGATCCAGGTCAGTGCCCAAGTCATTGACATAAAGAGAGAACAAGAGGGCCGAGGATGGAACCCTGTGGAACCCCTTTTGTTATCTTAACACTGTTTGACCTCCAACCATCTGTGAATACAGTTTGGGTGCGAGAATAGAGGTAATTTTTTAACCATTGTACTGTGTTCTTGGAAAAACCGAGGCAACTTTGTTTACTAAGCAGGGTGTTGTGGTCTACTGTATCAAAAGCTTTGGACAGGTCAAGAAAAAGACAGGCACAGTACTGCTTATTATCAAGGCTCTTGTAAATTTGATTCAAAGAGTCTAATGCAGCAGATGTGGTGCTGTATTTTTTTCGGAATGCAGATTGTTTTAGATGTAGTAGATTGTTGGTGGGCAGGAAACTGCTAATTTGGTAGTTCAATAATTTTTCAAAAATTTTCATCAATGGGGACAAAATTGAGATAGGTCGGTAGTTATTGGGATCATCTTTAGGGCCCCCTTTGTGAAGTGGATGGACATAGGAATGTTTCCATTCTAGAGGAACCGATGCTTCTTTGATGGACAGGTTGAAAATATGGGCTATAGGTTTGTATATTAGGTGACCAACAGTTAGTAGAGCAAAGACGGGAAAACTATCTGCTCCGGTAGAGGAGGACCCTTTGAGGTAGGACAGTTGTTTCAGAACATTACTTCCGTGGATTGGTTGGAAACTAAATTCGTTTAATGTTTGGACAGGGGTGTAGGAATTTGCAGGAGCAGGGGTGACTCCCAATACATTATCAAAAAGATTACCAGCTTCAGAAAAATGAAGGTTAAAATTGTCAACTATTCTTTTGGGATCTGAAAAATATTCCTCATTTCGGTTAAGCTCAACGGGCAGATGTTCTCTTTTGGATGCATTTTCGATAGATTTGATTGTTTTCCAAAAAATCCTGGCATTTCCATGTGATTCCAGGAGAGTGGAGGAAAAGTAGGCATTTTTTGCATGCCGTATTTTTTACGCATCTATTCCTTCAAATCCTGTATTCTAGCCAGTCATTTACCAAATTACTTTTTTGAGCACATGCCCAAGCCTTGTCCCTAGTTTTCATGAGCTTTGTAATCAAAGGATCATACCATGGTGGGCGGTTGCCTTTCAACGGAGCATGTTTGTTAAGAATTTGGAGAAACGTGTGCCTGAAAGTCTCCCAACCCGTAGTCAGGTTGGGGATATCACATACCTTATCAATATCCAAGTGAAGCACATCATTTGTAAATGCCTGAGAGCTGAAGTGCCTCACGGAGTGCTTCTCAACAATTTTAGGGGGGCTTTGGGTCTGGCTGATCTCACCCCAAAAATGAAGGAGTGATCACTAAGGTTATTACCCAGAACACCAGTCAGTGCGAAATTGTGAGGGGCATTTGTCAATAGGATGTCAAGCAGAGTTGACTGTCTCGGATTTTTTAGGTTGGGTCTTGTGGGGACATTTATTAATTGAAACAGGTTAAATTCATCTGTAAAATTTGTGGCCACGGCCGGCGGGTTTAGCCAATTCCAATTTAGATCACCCACTAAAACTATTTCACCTTTAGGGAGGCCCCCAAAAAGCTCTCTCAGTGCCGATGCAGCTTCAACATCCTTCCCACAAGGCGGTCTATAGCAGCACACTACCAATATCTGTTGATTATTTGGGAGACTTATTCTGAGAGCCAAACCTTCAGAGCAACATTTTTTAAACAAGGAGTGAGCTGGTGAACATGCAATAGTATTACGAACATAGATGGCAATTCCACCTCCTTTAGATCCTCGGTCAAGCCGAAAAATGGTGTAGTTGTCAATCGTAATCTGCAAGTCATTGACGGCAGGAGTGAGAAATGTTTCTGTTAGGCAAAAAATGTCCGGGTCAAGATTTGCCACTTCTAGTTTTAGTTGACTTAATTTAATCACAAGCCCTCTGATGTTGACATGTAGAACACCAACACCTTTCCTGCCAGAAAAATCTACAGAATTATACGAGCTCTTTTCATTCGGGCCAGGATGAAGCTCAATACCACCCAGGAATAAGAAAAGTAGAATTAATAGTTTGCACAAGTATTTTCTGTGAAAGGATGAAGATCGGCGAACCTTCGACGAATAGCAGCAGCTCGCAGATGGTGTTATTTTTAAGAGCAGAATGAAGTTTGGAAGGAGTGCTGGTGAAGTAATGGGACAAAGATAGGGTTTAAAAGGATACAAAGATGGAGCGTAGAAGCGTCTGAGCAGTTTCATTTGCAGGTGTAGTGGCAAATCGAGCAACAAGTATGGACACAAAGTAATGAGGGTAGCTGTTTGTAGAGTTGAGTGTGGCACTAGATATGGCCGGGAGGGACAGCAGTAGAATACACAGCAAGATAATTGCCATCTTTAAAATATCCGGGGTAAACACAGATTAACACACAAGCGGAAAAGAAAAAAATATCTATACTTGTAGCTGCTGCTGTAGAAGTTGCTGTAGCAGCTGCTGTAGCTGGATCCGTTGCTGCGACTGTAACTGTTTCTGCTGCAGCAGCTGCTGTTGTAGCAGCTGCTGTAGTTGCTGTTGTAGTAGTTGCAGCTGCTGTTGCAGCAGCTGCTGCTGTAGCTGCATCCGTTGTTGCTGTAGCTGCTGTAGCTGCTGCTGTAGTAGTCGCAGCAGCTGCTGCAGCCGCTGTAGCTGCTGCTGTAATGCCAGTGTGTGACAGTGTCAAGTTTGTGTTTTCACTAAAGTCTGTTAACTCTGTTGAACACGGAGGTTATATCACAACAATAGTTTGTTTTTGTTTTCCTCTGGAACTCTTTGTAAGAATAGAAACAGTCAACACAGCACACACATGCAGCTGAAGTCAGATCTGTTCATCCCAGCATTCATGGACATCGTGAGCCTGGCTGGCTTCACACCTCTAAGTTGCGATTGAACATTCATTTATGCATTTCTGCATAACACAAATAGTTTTATTTTCAGCACCCTTTGCTATATCAGCTGAATTTAGCTTTCATAAAAATACCTTTTGTATCCAGACAGCCGAAATTGTGTGCTCGGAGTTTTGGGTTAACATTCATTTTGAAGACACTAGGGCTTCCAGGCATATTCATGACTATTCGCCCTCTCATTGTGTTCCATAACAGCCTGTGATGAATTTGGGAAACTTTTTGACTATATCATGAATATATGAATTAGTATAGACGTGTAAGTCACGTGTTACTGTGTATATATGCATTCCTCTGTGTGGATATATTTTTTTTCTGTCTGCAGCTGTCACTTCCTCTGTCGCTTCCTCTGCAGAATTTGTCTGATGGAGCAAAGGCAGTCGCCGCAGCTCGGTACCACAAGGCATCAATGCGACCGGTGTGCATACAGCACGGATCGTACTGAACATTTGAGACGGCACCAGAGAACTCACACAGGAGAGAAACCCTTCAAGTGCAGTGTTTGTGGGAAGGCGTTGGCACATTCATCTACTCTTGTAAAACACCAGCGAAGACACATGGGAGATAAACTCAAGTGCAGTGTGTGTGGGAAGGTGTTTGCACATTCATCTACTCTTGTAAAACACCAGAGAACACACACGGGAGAGAAACCCTTCAAGTGCAGTGTGTGTGGGAAGGCATTTGCACGGTCAACAAATCTTCAAAGTCACCAGAGAACACACACGGGAGAGAAACCCTTCAAGTGCAGTGTGTGTGGGAAGGCGTTTGCACGGTCAACATATCTTCGAAGTCACCAGAGAACACACACGGGAGAGAAACCCTTCAAGTGCAGTGTGTGTGGGAAGGTGTTTGCACATTCATCTACTCTTGTTAAACACCAGAGAACACACACAGGAGAGAAACTCTTCAAGTGCAGTGTGTGTGGGAAGGCGTTTGCACTTTCAACAAATCTTCAAAAACACCAGAGAACACACACGGGAGAGAAACCCTTCAGGTGCAGTGTGTGTGGGAAGGCGTTTGCACTTTCAACAAATCTTCAAAAACACCAGAGAACACACACGGGAGAGAAACCCTTCAAGTGCAGTGTGTGTGGGAAGGCGTTTGCACTTTCAACAAATCTTCAAAAACACCAGAGAACACACACGGGAGAGAAACCCTTCAAGTGCAGTGTGTGTGGGAAGGCGTTTGCACTTTCAACAAATCTTCAAAGACACCAGAGAACACACACGGGAGAGAAACCCTTCAAGTGCAGTGTGTGTGGGAAGGCGTTTGCACTTTCAACAAATCTTCATGTACACCAGAGAACTCAAAAGCATCAAAAGATACACAAGGAGTGGAGTCTGAAATCAGCTTGTGAAAGTCAAAGTGCCGCAATGAGCCCATCCGTCATGAAACAAGAACCGGAAGAAAATCCCAGCTTGGACACTTTTAAAGGTATTAAGGTGAAATATGAAGAGGTGAAATGTGAAGAAGTGATGGTGAAGAGCGAAGAAGTGAAGGTAAAATTTGAAGATGAAGATTCAACTCCAATATCGGACCTTCACATCGATGGAGGCAACGTGAAGCAGGAGGAGAATTCTGACTGTGAGGCAGAGCGAGGCAACTCCCAGCAGTTTATGGAAGTGGAGGTGTGGGTGGACTTCCTCCGAGACAATACAAAGTCAAATGGAGATCCGGTAGATGTGTAAGCCAGAGACGATGTCTCTCCAATAGATGCACCTTTATCACAGGCCTTTAATGACAATAATGTGAAGTTGAACACTCAATTCCTAGGTTAAACCTGCAGGGTAAGAACGGCCAGTTCTTGTGGACCTGTGGGGTGGGTAGATCTCTAACCAGGAGCAAGAGCCAATAAGCTCCCAAGCATTGACTGTTTTAATAATTGCATTTAAATGGTGCTTGCTTAATAGCCTCTGGCAATTCGGAGTTTTGTATTGTATCTCGTCTCAAACACTCGAAGAGCATCCCCAAGTAGCAGCTGCCCCTGTGTGGCACAAGGTGGTGGCCCTGCACCTGCCTGCATGTGGACAAGAGCCTGTCAGTAGGGGCCGATGGTTGATTTGGCATCTCAGTTGTGGAGTTTGTAGGTAATGTTTAGAATTTGCTCAATTTTGACTGAGACGCCAGCATGCAATGGCCTACTCGTTTTAAATGGCGCAATAGTATGTTGTACATACACTGTTAAGCAGACGGTGCGTATTTTTGTTAAATAGCTTCTTGTTAATACGATGTAACATGATACAGCATATTTCAGTGCAGTAATTACATTTTCTTACTATGCCTGTCACAAATTTAGAATGAATACTTGTCTGATTGTGTGCGTATATGTAACATTTTGTCTATAAGGGTCAAACATTGAATAAGTGAAGTTAGGACAAAGTGTTTTTTGGAAGTAACCTGTACAGATAACTCGGGTGAGACTCGTGCTTGTGATACAGGTCAAAGGGTATTTTTGTGTTTTCAGGAATCGTTTGCCTCTGCAGCAACTCATTGTCTTTGCAATAGGGAGCACACTCGGATCATTCATCAATTACAAGGCATACCACTTAAAAGTTACACGTAGAGGAGATACATTCTCTACAACACGAATTATAATTTTGTATTACGTGTTGACGTAGATTTTGTCTAACTAGGACTAGAAATGGTCCTTGCCGATTAACGTCTGGATGTTGACAACCAAGGGTTGAAGCAAGCCGGACCGCCTGCGGAGCCCCTCACAAACATTTACGGCCTTCGGCCAGGAAAGTCACGAAAAAAATTGCACACGAACGACGCATTCACTCAAGCACCCGGTGCTCAGTTTTGAAGTTTTAAAATGAAACAACTTTGAATTGTATTTTGTTTTCAATTAGATAATTGTATTTCTTCATTAAAAGCTTATATCATTTTACATCTGGAAGACTTCATTGAAAACGACATTTCGTGTGAATTTTCTCTCGTCGTGAAGTAGATGGCCTTGCCGGGGGTTCGGTTCGATGCGGACTTTCACCTGGTTGGGATCGTGGCCGTGCCAGAAGACCGCCGTCTGCAGATCGATTCCAACGTGATCGAACGTCTGCCCCTGCGCCTCCGTCGTTCATGCAGGGGGCTAGTAGGTTTACAGCGCCCCCTGCATGGAAACGACGGAAAGTGCAGGGTGCATCACAGATAGATGAAGTTGCGCGCTTATATAAAAGTACTAGCGGGAAGTTCCCGGCATTGCCTGGGCGAAAAAGACACACACACACGTGGACTTAGACACATGGACTCACACACACACACGTAGACTCTCACACACATGGACTAAAGCACACATGGATTTACACATATCGACTAAGAGACACACACATGGACTCACACACACACACATGGACTCACACACACACATCGACTTACATACACATGGACTCACACATACACATCGACTTGCACACACATGGACCGACGCATACACATCGACTTACACACACATGGACCCACACATATGTTGAGGTGCAAATGACGACGCCGAGGTAGGTCTTCAGTTAAGGGCTTCGGATAACTTCTGCAGGGGTAGGGGTCCTTCACGAGGTCCTTCACACGAACCTTCACTCTGTCTGTTCCTAGCTCGGCTAGCTCCAGGGCTCTCTCCCTCGAGTCGGATCGGGGGTTCAGCCAACAACTCCAGACTCCCTGAGCTCTACCCCTGGCTGGCTCTTCAACCGCTCTCTATCCCGGGCTTCCACAGTGACCCCCTTAAGTACCTAGAGGAGACGTGACGTCGTCACCTCGCCCAGCGCGCATGACGTCACGACCCATGGCGTCATCGCACTGGACAGCCAGCATGACGTCACATCCCCATATTACTCCTCTACACATAGACTCGCACACATTGGCCTGCACACACATACGGACTCACACAGACATTGACTTTAGATACACACACATGCAGTTACACAGACTCACACAAACACATTGACTTACACAAATATGGACTAACACACACATGGACTAACACATACATACACATCGACGTATACACACACATCAACTGACACACAGACACACAGTTACTTACACGCTCACATGAAGCCATGCACACACATGGACTAACACACACAGCGACTGACACACACACATGGACTGACATGCACACTTGGACGTACACACACATCGACTTACACAGCAATCCCCGATGATGCCACAGCTAGAGCAATTTTCTCTCTCTTGCGAGCCTTAGCGAGGAGCAGTTTGAAAACAAAGGTCTTCCCAGTCCTGGCAGGTGCCTCAAGGAAAAAAATGACTCGATTTGTAGTCTCAGTGTCTTCCAAGATTTCCGTGTAGGCTTCTATTTGTGCATCCATCAGCTTTGGGTAATTTTCCATAAAGATTTTAAGAATCTGTAAAGCATAATAGCATAGTTAACGTAGGATCTCTTGAGCAAGGGCATGCAGGTTGTCCCTGTAGGTTGTTGGTAGTCCCATAGACGTGAAGTATTTTCCAGCAATGGAGTGCAGTTTGTCGTGAAGGAGGATGAGGTCCTGTTTGAAGATGACATCAGAAAAGTTGACGTCCGGGTTTGTGTTTTGTCTTTGAGCTCCGTGGAGTATATCCTCACTCATGCCCTCTTTGTATTTTTGCCAGAGTCACATGGGGTTAGATGGGCTGCAAACTTGAATATTCGTGCAGAAGTGCAATGTCAGTTGGAAAGGGGACTGACCAACAAGAAGCTTCTGTCATAGCTTCATGAAGATGGTGATCATGCGGAAGAATTGCACGAAGATTGCAAGCTCCCCTGTACGTTTGGCAGGCAACTCGCTCCACTGTTTATAGGTCTTGGAAAGATTCGTGCCCTTTGGCAACATGGAGAAGCATTGGGAGAAAGTAGCACTGCCGATTGTTGGGATGAGCTGCGTAGACTCGTCCCAAGGCATCCGATTCACCGTCAGCAGCACGTCGCTTCCATTCTTTATTTAGCAGTCCAGGTATAGTAGGAGGGAACTTAATGGTAGAGCAGGTTGGCAGCAAATGGGTCACTTGGGTACGAAACCAAGAACGCCACATGGGTGGTATCTTGTGGAGCCAGGGCCTGTTGCTGGGCATTTCCTTTGGTGACGTAGATGCATTGGCCATTTTGGAGGTGAAGTGCCAAATTGACGACTGTGGGGGAACGGTCATGGATGGGGAAGCCAAGAAATCTGCAAATGGCCTCATTGTTGCTGATGTATGTTCCTTGGAAAAAAATTTTGAGTTCATGCACACTTTGCCCCTCTGTTTTATAAGGCAAATCAGAATCAGAATCAGAAAGGGTTTTATTCGCCATGAAAGTTCACACCGACACGGAATTTACTTTGGCAGGATGGTGCATACATTCAACATATAGGAATCTAAAATCTTAAATAAGTTTTAAACAAGTCTTACTATAATAAGGGTTAAAAGTCTAACACCAAGGGGCTGAAGTATATAAAATTGAATAAATATCGAATATAAAATAGCTTTAAGATATAATTGAAAAATAAAAAATACAAATAGGTTAACATAGTTAATATCGGCAAGGTGTCATTATGTAGATAAAATGTTAAAAACAGTGTAAGCCCTTGGCCTTGTTTAACAGGCCAGCAGCAGATGGGAAGAAACTGTTTTTATGGCGTGAGGTTTTGGTCCTGATGGACCGAAGCCTTCTGCCGGAGGGGAGTAGCTGAAACAAAGAGTGTCCAGGGTGGGAGAAATCGGCCACA